CAGGTAAAGTCAGGTTAAGCTAGTTATTCTCCTCTCTCTCTCTCTCTCCCTCTCCCTTTCTCTCTCTTTCTCCCTCTCTCTCTCTCTCTCTCTCTCTCTCTCTCTCTCTATACTGAACAGCTGTAATCATCTTCTTTTCTTTGTAGCATTTTCTATTGGGAAAACTAATGTAACACTGGTACAATTGAATGCAAATAGGTTTATTTTCAATGTTAAATGTTAATACATAATTCAATCCTTTTAAAATTATAAGGTTATCATAACAATGAAGAATTTATAATTAAAAAAAAAGTTATTTATTAACACTGACATTATGTTAATTGATTTGCATTCAATTGCATTTAAATGTACCAGTATTGCATTAATGTTCTCAGTGAAAAATAATAGACTCTCCTGAACTGCCCACCACAAATTTTTGGAGAATCTATCTATATCTATTGCTATCAGATTTATCATAATCAATCGGATGTGAAAAAAATGTACTAAAGTACATCCCTACATAGAAATTTAATACTAGTATCTACTGGTGAATTAAAAAAAATCACTTATATAATCACTTATTTTGAGTGTATTAAAAATCATTTATTATTCATTTGAGTGTATTAAATATCTATTAATAGTTAAAATAAATGATTAATTGGCCAATGCAGAATATCAAATTTCTAAAAGAGATAATCCTTGTAGAAAAATACTACTGAACACTATTAGTGCGCAATAGTATTTTGAGGCACTACTGCACTACTGCTATAGTACAATATAGTACTTTTCTACATGGATATATGCGCGTTTCGGCGAAATACAAATTCAGGAAACAAGTATATGTGTCACGCAAACTAACTATTAATAACTTTATTTAAAAAAAGCACTTTCAGAGACTCTATAAATGCACACTCCGATCGAGCTGAGAATAAGACTGCGTTCCGTTACATAATGTGCATAATGTATCATTTTATCCTTGTTTGACACTCGGCGAAAGAGAATAAAACGATACATCATGCGCATTATGCGTGAAACGGAACGCAGCCTTCAACTAAAAAAGATAAAGTCATTTAGTAAAAATTTATTAAATTAATTTCGAGGATTCTGTCCCAAGATTAAAATTGACTCCTTGTGATCCTCTGGGGGTCGATTCTGTATCTTCAAAGAAGGTGAAAATTACAAAAGTGAGCAAGGTATTTTTTACTAGGTGTGTTGACCAATGAAATAATCAGTATTCTAGTAAATTCGTTCACTTTTATAATTTTCACCTCATTTCAAGATATAGAATCAATTCCCTGGCAGAAATGCCCGACGTTCGAGACAGTCGAGACAATATTCTCACTGGCGCCACTGCACCGACTTGTTCGCAGCAGCGTTCGCGGCGACGTCTTCTTGATACAAATCTGTACGCGGCTAAACAGGAACGTTGTGATCATTTCTTTTGATGTAGCGGTGAAAAACCGATCGGTCCGATGTTATGCGGTGATGTTTATAGCAGCGTTCGAGACACCGTTCACACTGCACACGTTTTGTTCGCAATAACGTTCGCGACACGTCTCTTACAAGTCTGTACGTGATTTTATGCGATGATGTTCGTGGCAGCGTTCGAGACACTATTCATATTGCACTCCGTCTTCATCGCGACGGCGTTCTGCTACAAGTTTGTTATGCGACTTAATAATTTTACTAAAATTGAATTTAATGTACGAGATACACTAATAGTGGAATCTTGTAGTTTACACTATATAATGTAAATAAATATAAATTTCAGCGTTAAAATAATAGATATAATCTCTCATAATTTATCATTTTGTGTCAAGAAGCTGCGCAGAAGATTATTGTGTAGGAGTCTGGAGATTCAAACTTCTGCGCAATAATTTTCTGCGCAGATGCTCGATGCTCGACGCTTGTATGTAATGGCATCTTAACACCCATATTATATTACAGAGTGGAGAGATTGCGAATTGAGGATTAGAATTCAGCCAATTAGAACAAAACGGATTAAAATTAAAATTATTTGATTCGAATTCTAATTCTTAATTCGCAATTTTTAGTCTTCAATCCGTAATGTAACCCGGGATAGTGACGATTATTTATATGCCTGGCAGAATATACGTACGCTCTATAGACGTACCGCCGCGAGATGGGCTCAATTTCCGTAAGGAGAAAATGATGCAGAATCCGTATAAAGAGACATACGTAAATGAAATTCGTCATTCACTCTCAAGTCTCAGAAGTGCGTTCCAAAATTAACTTTGGTCAACGATATGGTTATGAGACTGGCGGGAATGTAGATTAAAACTAAAGCCGGCACACAATGCTTGTTTTCTACACACAACGCTTGTTTTCTTGTTGCTTGGATTGCTAGCTAGATTAGAATCTTATCACTGTGTTGGCTGCGATGCTGGCACTGACGCGGTAACATTTATATTTAGGATATGTAAAATATAAAATTATAAGTAAAATTTTATCTTGAATTTGTGATTGCGAATTATAGATCGTCTAAAGTGGGCTTAATAGAGATTGTATTTTTAGTAATTAATTAATTAATATCTAATTATAATCAGTTTAATAATGTATCATGTTTTATTTATTATTAATTTTCCAATTTAGCTAATTCTTTGGTAGGCGAGATTTAATTATATTCCATTTACGTGCGCGTTATACTATCTATTTCGGTAAAAATGTCACGCCCGATACGCGGCAGTGATTGCTGAAACCTAAAACGCCATCAATGCCGCAGATTCGTCAGCTGTCAGTTAAACGCTTGAAATTCCATTTGAGCCGGAAACCGTTCTCGCGCCACGCTTCGAGGGATTGGTCGCAGTTTCGGTTACTTTTCGCCAAACCGCATCAGCGTCCGGCCTCCATTAATCGATCCCTGTGTGTCTCGACCGTCTATCCGTTCCATAATTCCGCGTCGCGGTTTTGTGCGGGACTTTGGGGTAAAACTTCTTCCGCAACATCGGAAACCTTTTTCAGCTTCTAATTTTCGTTGGCAGTGATGAGAGTGGGATGTACATCCGATAGGTGCATTGGGGAATAAATGTTATCGAATGAACACCCCGGCCGAATAGACATTCTAGGTTCCTGAATATACAATATATTTCAGTTTCGATAAAATCGGATTTTTTGCTCGTTCAAACAGCAACGGAGCAAACTGGAAATCGATGAAAATATATACGGCAGAGATAATAGTATTCGTACGAGTTTCCGTTCGATTTTTCTGTAATTTTTTTACGCCGTATGTTACTTTTTTTATTTTTTGCTTATTACTTACACAAAAGTAATTATTTCTAGAGAGATCGATGGTTCTTTAAATATTGATACGTGTAAATTTTTCTTCTCGTCTAACGAAATGCAACGTGAAGAAAAATTAATATTTTATGTTAGTAATTATAATATACATATATACATGGAAAGAATAGCTTTGCTAAAGTACTTCAAAATTTAGCTAGGAACAGATTTGAAAGTAACTTGTTGGCCAATAAAATAATAGAACGCTTAAGTTGGTTGTTAGAATATAAAAATTTTTTGCAGCTTTGCTCATCATGTTTGAATTTTCTATATAATTATTTGGATGATTAACAAAATGATTTTCAGATATCTAGCAAAATTTTTAAGTATTTCAGCAAAATCATTCTTTCCATGTATTAAAAGTACTTAAATCAGCGCATGAAAGTAAAATATATGTATTTTATATCAACTGCAGATTGAATTTATTTTAGATTCTGATACTTTTAATTACACAAATTTATGTTATTTACGCATTTATTCTCTTCGTGAACAAAATGCTTTATTGAGCGGAAAAGACTGCAAAACTGAAGTCGAGCGTCCGGAAACAAAGCGTCCGTTAATCAACGTTTTAACGATATCCGATTTAGAATAACGTAGAGCGGCGTAATTCATCTTTTTATTTGTCGATTCTCATCCGGCACTATTTCTTCCCGGGGTCCGATACCCGGAGGGGTTTGATTCAAATTGGAGCACGGCGACATTTCAAGTGGGGATAATGTATATTAAATATATGACGTCTGTATTGGTTTTACGATGTCATTAGTAACGATTCCCTTTACGACCTGTTTCTGAGTTATAAATTACTGGTCGGATATACGATGGTAGAGAGAAACAGTGTAATTAGCGTTACTGTGCGCGCGTACCGGATATATATGCCGAGGTATAATTGGTCTGCACACGATCGCACACAAAACTTGCCTCATCCATTTTGTGCTCTAACGTCGCGAGCATAAGTCTTGCGATCTCGTGGATCCTCAAAGCAACCTCGTCTAAATTTAACCTTTACTGTCCATTTTCATGCATAAGCATCCAGGTATAAACAATTATAATTACGTTATCAGAAAGATGCGTTGATTTTCATACTATAAAAAGTGCAGTGTTTAAAATGTTTAAAATGTTACGTTTAAAGCATTTTTGCAAAACAAACGTTTAATAATAAAAGATATTTCAATTTTAAACATTTTAACGTTTTAAATCCAAACATTGTGTTTTGTTTATTGAAAAAGTTAATGTTTATTGAAACATTCTAATATCTTATATTCTAATTCTTTTAGCCCTTTTTTTATCTACCTTACTATTTTTAAACGCATATTCTAAAGCTCGTTTATAAATAATAAATTTAAAGTGGCCTTATTTAGTGCTGGGCCTTATTCGACTCAAATATCTTAAATCGAATTAATTATAGGTAGTAAGAAATTAATAGACATTTATACCTTTCAGTTTTGAATAACGATATTTCTTTGCAGAAACGCAGATTGGACGTTTTTTT